CAGACACACTGCAAACCCTGCACGTCGGTGGCCGAAGCCACGCAGCAACCGGGAGATGCAGGGACGGCCTCCCCAGGCCAGCTGAACCCTCACTGGGAACACCCCACCCCCAGCGGCGGTTTCACGAGGGAGCCCCGGCTCTGTTCTGCCCCCCTTCACTGGGGTCCCGCCCCTCAGACCCCTTCGTCAAAGACAAGCTACGCAGACCGCCCTGGACAGCCAGCCCCCAGCCACTGAGAGAGGCAGCATGTCTTCCTGCAAAACTCCTAAATTTTGGTTTTCTATTTCATTTGTCTTAACCCTGTAGTCGTTAAGTTTCCCAGAGAAAGTGCTAGCCTGAATTTGAGTTACATTCTTTGTCTCTGTCTCAGTCACACACACTCACAGCCTCCCCTTCCCCCAGCAGACAAGTGGAAATTTCCACTGACAAGCGCTCAGTGCTCAGTGGGTGGGGTGGGGGAGGGGAGGGGAACGGAGGGGAGGGGAGGGGAGGGACTGAAGCCAAACCGTCTGGGAGCCTTTTGAGCACAGCAAACGGATCCATGTGGATGCCAGTTCCTAGACTGTGTCTGCTAACCCTGGCTGGATGCGGGCTCCGCGGAGGCCGTGGGTGACTCCCCCAACACCGGGGCCCTCCGTGTGGAAGAGCCCCGCTTCCTATTACATCTGTTGGGACTCACACATTTGAAAAGCCACTAAACCTGCTGCAGAATCCTTACAAACCTCGGGGCGCCGCCACCACTGACACCTCCCAGGCCGCGGCAGTGCCCCCGAAGGCCCGTCGTGCGGCCCTGCTCGCAGGAGCCAGGTGCAGCCGCCGGCCGGGTCGCCATGCTGGCAGGCGCGCGCTTGCCAGGGGGAAGCGCAGAGCAGCGCCAGCCGCCCCCGGAACGCGTGCCAGCTCTCTTGGAGTACAATGCAGACACATTTGGGGAGCGAGTCAGTAAAATTCCACCGATGCACCACAGACCCTGTTATTTTTACCCTTCTGCATAACTGTAAATAGAAGGGCATCTTAAATATAGGCCAGCAGGTCTTCGCTATTCACACCTATTCACATTTTAAAGCAGAGGAGACAGAGGGACAAACAGGCAAGAAATCCTGGCCCTCGGAAGGCAGCCCTGTGTCACTGCACTCGAATCAGACCTGGGAGAACAGAGCAGACCTGGGCGTCCTTTCGCACACAAACGCAGGCCCGGTACCGAGCTGCAAACCGCGGTCTCTCCAGTCCCCTCCTCTGCACCAGAAACCAGCGCCTCCGTGCAGCCTCACCTCATGGAAAGAGAGCCCCAGGCCAGCACATGCTGCCCGGGCCAGACGCTGAGGGGCTTCTGGACAGGTGACAGCACCTAGGGTCCCAGTGGGGTCTGCATGAGCATCCGCCCCTGCACCTGCAACGCTGTCCCCTTACACTCCGAGGGGGTGCGGCGAGAACGCGTCGCCCCACCTCACCCCTCCTGCAGACCAGGGACGGTGTCCAAGGGAGCACGGGGAGGAACAAAGGAGAGAAAACCCAGGGGTCCCCCAAGAGGCCAAAGCAAATGCAGAGCCGAAAAGGAACCCCAGTCCTTCTGAGAGCCCGCGGCGCCCAGTCCTGCTCCAGGAGGCAGCCGGCAGAGGCCCCCACCAGAAAGCTGGCTGGGGAGACCCAGGCGTCCCCAGCACCCAGCCCAGCCCGAATGGTGGCAGGGAATCTGGTCAACTCCTCCTGCTCCTAAAGTCACATACCTGGGGACAGGTGGCATGGCAAGTGGTTGTCCTGGGAAGTCGTCCTGATCAGCGACAGCTGTCTTAGACACACCCCTGCCCCCGATAAAGGCGCCCTGACCCAGGCTCTGCTCTGCTGCTGGGTGGACGGTGGAGCAGCATTTTTTTAAAAATCCTCACCCAAGGATATATTTACTCATTTTGGGGGGCGGGGGCAGGGAGGGGATGGACAGAGAGAGAGAAACATCGATCAGTTGCCTCCCATATGTGCCCTGATCAGGGACTGAACCTGCAACTTAGGTGTGTGCCCTGACTGGGAATTGAACTCGCCACCTTACGCTCCAACCAACTGAACCACCTGGCCAGGGCAGCACTTTCAAAATCAAGTTTTAAAATGGTGCTTAGTCGTACATAGGCACCTTGTCCAATTCTAACACCCCCAGAGACTTGGCTGAGTAAGCCTCTGTGGATCCACCTGAGAACTTGACCATCAAGTTGTTCCAATGAGAAAATAGGTTCCCAGGTATAAACAACAAACTTACAGACAGATGTCTCCAATGTCATCTGCTCCTAAAGTGGGGACAGACCAAATGAGTATCTGGATTTATCGACTGCATTTTTTTTTTTTTTGCATAAGCTGCACACGCAGACGTGATGCGACACCGACACTAGGTGCGACCGTCAGCGCGCCACCCCTCTTCTTCCTCAGGACACCCTGAGGCAGATCTCTCCTACCCAGGCACTTCCCTGCCGGCTTGGCTCTTTCAGGCCGCCCTGGCGCCTGTGGAGCAGAGGCGGGGGTCTGGGGAAAGGCGGAGAGGGACACAGGCATTTGCCGGGGGAGCGGCAGGGACAGTCATCCAACAGGATGGGACGTGACGGCAGCAGGCACACGTGGGCTTTGGCGGGGCCAGGTGACCCCTGCTGTGCTAGGCCCCACCCTTTTTAAAAATGTTTATTTATTGATTTTACTGACAAAGGAGGGAGGGAAGAAGGGAGGGACAGAGACATCGATTTGTTGTTCCACTTATTGATGCACTCACTGGTTGATTCTTGTATGCACCCTGACCAGGGATCGAACCCACAACCTTGGCGCATCGGGGCGACATTCGAACTGCCTGAGCTCCCGGCCGGGCCTGCTGGGCCTGGGCCGCTGCCCTCACAGCCCTGGCTGGTGCCCACGCTGGCCGCACGCAGGCAAGTCCCTGCCTCGACTGAGAACTCCTTGAGACCCGCCACCGCACCGACCGCAAGAGCCGCCGGAGGCCGAGGGATGGCGCGAGGCCGCGCCGCTGCCGCCAGCGGAAACGCGAGGAGCTCGTCGCAGCGGCAGCACCCCCTGGCCCCGCGAGCTCCCGCGAGGGCACTGAGGCGCACTCACGAGCCTGCTGAAAACGGGCCCCGCCTCCCCAGCCTCAGGACTCCAACCAGGGCCCCGGCAGGGAGACGGGCGGCAGCTCTCGGGGGGGCTGCGGGCAACGGCGACCGCCGCCTCTGCGGGGACTCCCTGGGGGCTCGGGCTCTGCGGGCACGCCCGCGCCTCCCTGCTCACACAGACGCCGCCTTTTGGTGGAGCTTATCTGTACCACTAGCGTTTCGGGGACCACACTTTGGAAAACATTACCTTACACACCAAATAAACAGCGGACAATAGCCAGAAAAACAAGCTTAAAACAGGAACCTCCCTGGCAAGGACTGGGCACCACCCCGCTGTGTCTACATATAATACACACACGTGACACACTTCAAAAATGCTGCTTCTGCTTTGCTGGGGAGTCTGAAAGAACGAACAAACCGAAATACATCCTTAAATATAAAGGAGCTGAGTGGCGGCAGCACAGAGCTTACGGGACGCACGCACCTGGTCAGGACCCAGGGGCGTTGCCTCAGGTCTGGCCCAGTTCCAGGTAATTTTCCAGAATCTGAATTTGTTCCGCCCGAAGAAGAGCACCGGCACCACCCAACCCGAGCCCCACACGTCCCAGGGGCCCGAACACGGAACGCCGGCACCGAGGCTCTGGGCGTGGGGTCCCGAGCGCCCGCCCTCCGCGCAGGCAGGGGCTCTCCCGCCGCAGCCCTGAGCGCATGCGCGGCCAGCAGCTGACATTCGCCCCCCACCCCGTCCCCGCCTCTGCCCTCCGTCAGGGACCCCGGCCAACTGCTCCTGGCCAAATGTACGTGCTCCTCTTTAAACTGAAAGGCAAAAAGATTCAGAGCCTTGCTGTTCAAACCAAACCCCTTTGTGGTTAAGTATTTTTTTGTTTAAATGTTATACACACAAGCTCCATCCCTGTGACTGTGACTGTGACTGTGGAGGAGAAATAGCCACTGCGCGTTTCCTGTTGCCTAGCAACGGCGGAGGCCCTCTCCTCAGAGGTGCTCGCAAGGAGCGGAACGCTGGCCAGGAACCAGGCGAGGCCATCGCAGGGGAGACGCGCCCCGCGGGCCCGTCTCGCTGTGCGCCTGCGCCTGGACCTGTCACGTGACTGCAGCCACAGGAGGCCACAGGCGCCGCGTGACCACGCGCAGCACCCCGACGCGTCCGCGGAGGACATCTGCAGCGAGTATCCCCTGCGATCCCTCCACGCCGCGGGCGGGAGAACCCCCAGCGGAGGCCGCCGGCGCCAGAGAGGCTGCGCAGCGCCCTCCCCCGGCGGCTGTCCGCTGCTGCAGCGACGGCCTCCCGCCCCGCCGCTCCGACTCCCGGGAAACGACGGAGGGGTGCTTCTCCCCCACCCCAGACGCCACCAGGGCTTCGAGAAGCTTCGTGCCGCCTCAACAGACTGGTCGCAGAGAATGTGTACAAACGATCGTTTGAGGAAGCTGCCATATACTATGCCAGAAAAAATTCCATTGCAAGAAATTGTGATTATTGGTTGAGTCGATAAAGGTAGGTTCGGCTCTCGTTATGCATTTTGCTTGTTACCTGCAACCTACGGATTTACAAACAATTCACTATGTGAACAACACAGGGCTCACCGAGGCCGTTTCAAGGCCAAAATTAAAGACATTCAGAGGAAAACATGCCTAGGTTGACAAGAAAAAGTTCCCCGCAGTCGAAAGCCTCTCCCCCTGCTGCCCTGGCATGGCCCATGTCCCCGTTGGTCCCCGTTTCTCGGGGCCGGCCCCCCGCCTCCGCCTCTGCAGCCCCACCGTCGCCTGGCTGGGCGCCTGGCGCTGCCCGCCCGGCGGGGCTCTGCCGTGACGCTGTGCCAACTCCTAAGGCAGATTCGCGAAGCAGCGTTGCCCACGGAGCTGGGCGAGGGGACCCTCGGCGCCGCGGGGAGGCTTACCCGCCTCTGCTGTGCCGCTGGCTGTGGGCGGAGACCCTGTACGGCAGCGCACGCTCGCCCAGGCTTTCCAGGTTCCTCACGATCGCCCCTCTGTCCATCAGGGCTTCGATCGTCCGTTTCAAGGCAGCGGCAGTCTCCGGCTGGTTTGTTTTGTTGTATTTATAAAGGGAAAAAAAAAACACATCCGAATCAATGTAAGAACTAGAACAGTTAAGTCTGGTCAGTCCTAATCACAACAGCTCTACTGTTAGAAATCTTTGGGTAAAAGCAACAGAAACTGTTTTTGGCTGTCTTACTTTTTTTAAAAAAAAGGAGAGAGAGGGAGAGAGTGGGGTCGGGAGAGACAGAGAGAGAGAGAGACTGACATTCATGGTGAAGGCGTGCGACAGCTCCCAGGTGCGAAGGAAAACTGAAGAACCAGGCCGCGGAGAGTCTGGGACCCAGGGCCTGGGAGGGCGGCTCCTCCAGGGCACCTCGGCCGGGACAGGTCCGTGCCAACCGCTGTCAGTCCTTGCAGCCCATGGCTCAGAACGCAGACTCCGGGGCAAGAGCTTCCTCTTGGCAGGACACCGGCCATCCCCCAGGACCACAGCCAGTGGGAAAGCAGTCCCCTCCCGAGAAAAGTCGGGAGACTGAAGCCACAAGGGGGAAAGGACAAGATGAGCCAGTCTCTGCCTTCGTGGAGCTTACAGTCTAACGAAGGGGTTAACACAGAAACCCACGGAAGAAGGTCGGAGGGCAGAGCACAGAGGCGACATTGGGACCGGAGGGTCCCGGAAGGCGAAGGCACACTCGGCTGGGAGGGGGCGTCACCCGTGAAGGCCTGCTTGAGTGAAGCCCTGAGAAACGACCAAGGGAGATGCAAAGAGCAAAGGCCGGGCCCCGAGAAAAGGAGCCAAGGCATGAACGCGGAAATGGTCAGGAGTCCCGCTGGGCGGGGGTCAGGATGAGGGAGGGCTGAGAAGGAAGATTACAGGTTGGGTACAGGTACATAAATAATAAATGCCCGTTATAAGAAAATTCAAACAAGAGCAAATCCCATCATCCAAAGATAAAAGACTTTAAATGTTCTGTTAAGTTTCTTGTCAGACAGCTCTTTGCACACGTACACATGGAAAAATGTCGGAAGGCGCTTTAGAAGGGTGAGCCCCGACGACGAGGGAGGCGCAGCGGCTGAGAGAATGGCGCTGCTCACAGCCAGGCCCGCGGAAGCTCGCGAGGGACCAGGAAGTGTGCCCTTGGTTTGAGACGCACCAGCAGGATGGGCCTCACGGAGCACCCAGTGGCCACCTGCAGGGAAAGGCTCTCTGAAGCCCCCAAGCGGGAGGGCACCAAGGAGGGCGCAGTGGGGGAGGAAGGGTCAGCAGCAGAGCCCGAGGTGGGGGGGGAGGGCGTGCATGCGTGGGGGCTGCCAGGAGGACTGGGAGCCAGAGACACAATAGAAAAGGCACAGGAATCCCCGGGAAGCCAGGCCGGCGTCGCCACAGAAGCGAGGTGGCAGCCCCGGCAGGACAGGCAGAGGGTGGTGAGGAAGGAAAGGCCGCGTTGGGGCGTCTGCACGGCCACTCAGCAAGACGGCCTGCAAGGCCGGGTGCGGGTCCCCACAGCAGACACAGCGACGGAGGGCAAGTGCCGGAACTGGAGGGGTAAGTACGTTTGGGCGAAGTGTTTCAGGAAAGAGCAAACATGAGGAAGGTCGCTGTTAAAGGGGAACAACCAGTCAAGAGGATAAAACGTTAAGGTGTGAGAGCGAGGACTACAACAGTGGCAGCTGTGACTCACTGTGTGGCTGCAACACGCCCAAACTGGTCCCAGGTTTTATTGTTACATGTGTCACCCTGACAGAAAAACGAAGGCTTACAGACTTGGAACCAGGGCCTCTGCGAGACGCCAGGACTGAGGCAAGAGCCCTGCGGCTGACGCGCAGAAAGGCCTGGCGCGAGGGGAGGGACGCCACAGGACACCTTGGCAAGGAAGGGACGCCCCTCCTCAAGGACAGAAGGGAAGGGACGCAAGCAGAGAGACCCTGCCGTGCAGGAGCGAACGCAGGAAAACGCTGCCTTCCCACGGCTCATTTTGGATCAGATGAAAACTGCAGAACCAGTTTAAGTGTGTGTCCCACTAAGCAAAGGAAGTCTACTCTTCCTGTAAATTTTCTTTCTCGTGAGCATTACTAAAATGTTGTGAATGCACTAAGTATTAGTTTAAGGGTTAGAAATAAAATGTTTACTTTCATTTCATATGGTAGCCCACTAAGGGTTTAAAAAATGCCTACTGAAAATAGTTTACATATTTAGCCAACCTATGATAAAACAAATTCCCTAAAACCAATAAAAATAGGGGCTGAAGTCCCTCCACATGAACACGGGCTGGGTCTAAGTCTGCCTACAGCAACCACTCCTGTGACTGCGCGCATCTTCACGCAGAGCGACTCCCCTCGTACCTCCTGGGCTCCCAGGCCTGTCCCCGCTCCGCAGGAGCCTCGTCACCAGCAGCAGGGTGGCATTTCATGTCACTAAACAAGCCCTTTCTTTACCTGGCATCACATCAATTAACGTAAGGAGGGTGAGCAGTCTATGCAAATAATGGTAAGGTTTTTGTTTTCTTTTTTAAACTTTGATTACTACGAGTCTTCTGATCAGCCACCTGAATCACACACTTCAAATTTAGTTTGCCCATTAAAAAAGGAATATATCTCAATACCTCTCGTCTTGTTCAAATTCCAACTCAAGCGGTTGTAGTATGAAATACGGAGACTCTCTTTTGAAGAGCTTGTGAAATGAACAATTTTCTTCTGCCCAAAAAAGGGGAGAGCTACCTAGTAAGAATGTAACTTGGGAAAATATCAAAGCACACGTTGTTTGACTTTGGTATGTCAGGCTCAAACTGCAGACTGCTTGAATAGACACATTCATTTCACTGTGATTTCAAATTACCCAAAAGTTTGAAAAGGAAAGATGAAGGAGGAATAAAAACGTGTCCTGTTTATTAGGGAGCCCGCTTGTCCCAGGCAACTGACCTTGTCACCGTGAATCACACCGGGACCTGTGGCCAAGTCTGGCTCACCAGCTGTTTGTGCAAATAAAGATTTATACGAACACGGGTGGCTCAGGCAGGGACACAATGTCCACGACACTGTCCTGCCAAAGGCAGAACTGCGAGCACAGGAGGACCACGCAGCCAGCAAGGCCGCCTTCCTTACTGCCCGGACCTTCCGCTCTGCTCTGCAGTGGGCTGGGCGGAGCTGGCAGGGCCTCTGTCCACTTGTTCTCAATCTACCCAGTGAACCACGAGCCTGGGCCACTGAGCCATGGACAGGACTTCCCCATGGGGGGGGGGGGTTTGGGATGACACACAGGGCCCCCAGCTCACGCACGCCAGCAGAACGTCCCAGTCACCACAAGGACTTGACAAACTCACCTGCCCGTCGTCACCAAGCCATAACCTAGTCAGCCTGGGGGGCTGACTTCAACTTCCCTTGTCTGGTGCCAACTACGGGTCTATGAACACAACATTTTTAGGCTTCAAAAAAAAGTTGTGCTCTCTCCAGCACAGTGCCCAACATAAAACCCACGGGCTACAACCAGCAAGTGATCTCATGGCCCTGAGCCTTACTTGGCGAAGGCGTTTCAGCCCGGCTCTCCCAACGGGCTCCTTGCACCCGCCCGAAGGCGGCCCCGCCCTGTGCCCGCAGCCAGGGGAGGGGTGCGGGCCGGGCGCTGACAGCGCCCCCTGCGGGAGAGCACAGTCAGAGGGCTGCGGCCGGGGCACGAGGGAAACTGGAGTCCAGCCCAGCTCACTCCTGATGGGCCAGTTACACGGACCTGAATAAAGCGTCACAATCTGCCAACGGTTAGATTCATGCCTCTGTTTCCTCATGTGCTGGTGGTTTCCAATGAGTTTCTGGTCTCGACAAGTTCCCCAGGAACAACACCCACATCGCCAACCCCAGAGCACAGTGGGATGTGCACCCTACCGAGCCCCTCTTGCTGATGCCCTTCCTGCCTCTGCCCTGCGTGTCCCCGTGTACCTCTCACTACCAGCGTGCAGGCTCCAGAGAACCAAGGACTGTCTCGGCCTCGGGCGCGACCACACTCCCACAGCCCGAGACGGCCCTTGTCGTGGGCAGCACCGGGAACAGCAGTGCCTCCCTACGAGGATCTCTTGCCTCCTTATTCCCGTTTTTTCTGCAAGAACCCTAAGTTTCCAAGTATCTCTGATACCGTTTGAAGCCACTTCTATATACTCTACCCGGGCAGCGACTGTAATGCCGAAGCTAGATTACAATACTAGTATTTTACTCTTTACTTCGTGTAGTGCCAAAATGCTGTTAATACTACTATTGTGGTTAAAAAGAACCCAGAATTCATCTAAAAGTGAAACTAAGTATTTCATCTACTTCAAAAATATCAAGTTCAAATATAAATGTTAAGTTTACATTGTTCTATTTTCTGATAAAGCACTATCCAAAAATATTACACAAATAACACTTCAAAGAAAATTCACCCTAGACAAAATTAAAACGAGTTTTTGGTATTCTTAGTTACTAAAACTACTGGTATTCAGTCTACAAAAGAGGACATGGGGAAAACCCAGAGGCCAACTCAGACCGTCCGCAGGGTTAATGTGCAGAAACACGTATTTCTTCACTGGAGCCCAGGGGTGAAAGGGAAGCGCCCAGCACTGCCGCGGCACGGGCCGAGGCTGGCTGCTGCGAGCACCGCAGGGCGCCTGCAGACTCGGGGCGTCCGGGCCGAGATGAAACTCCAGGACTGTCCGGCTCCGCCCATCATCCTGAGGTCACTGAAATGAAGCTGGCTTTTAGGGACACCACGAAGTACACGGTGGTGAGGAAGCCGTCGAGGACAAGCTGGGTTTATACTGAGGCCACAACTGTTTCACTCAAGGTTACTTTTGTGATGGTCCCTAGAGGCCCCCGGGAAGCCCCAGCTCCCCAGATCACATTCTGAAAACTGCAGTTCTAGTGCTTCTAATGGGCAAAGTTTCTATAATAAAGGCAAGAGCAAAGAGATGGGAAAAATAAAAGAACATCTATCTCCACTTGCCCCCAAATAAAATCCTCATTCAGCAAAGTTACTTAAGCTAAGGACTCATGGAAGTCCCAGAAACACCACCACCG